GCCACCAGGGCGTGGTGTTCTGTACTTCGGAGGGGTTTCTTCGTCAGTGCTGTACATTGCGCATCCTCCTGCCGGGACGCGAAACGATCAACGGGAATTCGCACCCCAGGACTCCAGTATGAATGTCGTGGCCTATTTAATGTATGCGCCTCAATAATTACCAATACTAGTCGGGGTTCCTTCTTATAATTACAGTAGTATTACAGTATAACTGGGATACTATTTGGGGCTTCCTTCTTATAATCACAGTATATCCGGTTCCCAAAAACCCTATTCTAATTATTCAAGCCCCTAAATTCATGAGGCTTCGGAAGGTTCTTCTTGGCGCCCGGAGCTTTCCAGGTTTCGGCTTGCAGCAGCTTTAGACCCAAGGGCCACAGGCCGGTAATTAAACCCCCACCCGGGCCCCCAAATTTAGGGTTCCGGGCCGCCCTTAACCCTAAGCCCCGAACCCTGAACCCTAAGCCCGTTTCGGGTTTAGGGTTTGGGGCACCCCAACCTCCAAACTTCACAACCCCAAAACCCCCCAACCTACTCCCGAAACCCCAGGCCTTTTACAAACCTCTACAAATGCCGCGAAACGTGACGAGCACACGGGCCTTCATTACCAGAAATATTCCATCAATGTATTGGGTTTTTGGCATAATTACTTAATTCCTACTGAGTTTTTTTGCATAATTACTTGCTCTACCTATATAGGGTTTATGATACATGTCAAGATTCGCAGGTATTAAAAAACTCTGAGCCAACAGAGTCCGGCCTTTTGCATCTTGCTGGGCGCGGCCGCGAGCGTCGTTGCCTGGTGCTCTCCTGGCAGTCTCTTCATGGGCGTTCTGTGTGTCGGGGCTTAGGTTGGTTGGTTGGTTTAGGGTTTAGGGTTTATGGTTTAGGGTTTAGAGGTCTAGGGCTTCAGGGTTTGGGGGGGTTTAGGGCTTGTGGCATTTAAGGTTTACGGCCAAGGTTGAAAGGTTTACGGGCTCACGGACGACTGCGCAGGTGAATGTCTCAGGCTTAGTCAGGGAAGCGCAGTTTTCGGAGTTGAGGCTTGGAATTTGGGGTGGTCGGTCAGCGGCAAAGGGCACATGTTCATATCCAAAATCTCCAGGGAAACTGCGATTGTTCTGCCGCTGCGAGTTCAATAAAGTGACTGGCCTTCTCGGTAGATGACAAAAGACGCGAGACTGCATAATATGCAGGGTTGCTCTCATTTCTTGTCTATCTGTGTGTGTGTGTACATATAAACATATGACCCTATATATGTTCAAATGATGTGGAAAAGCATTAAACATTAAACATCATAGACCATGGAGCGGCATGAAGACACCACGGCCCAGTAGATGTAAAGAAAACCACCCGTTTGTCTGTGCTTTCATGTCAACATGAAATGACAATCAACGGATTTCTGCTGTCCACGCAGTAAGGTCCATGGATCCGAAGGCCTTGCCACCACTGGCTGGACGCTCGGCGCCATTCTCCACACACGTGTGGGATCACCTGCAGCAACAAGCGACTCGGAGATCCAACAACTTTAGTGGTTTGAGGTTTAGGGTTTAGGGTTTAGGGTTTGCTTGCTTCAAGGCTCAAACCGTACGGTAACAGACGGGCATGTAAAGCCCCTTTCGGGGTCAAAGCCTACTTTGACCTTTGGTTTCCGGTTTCGATTTGTCGGCACCCTAAACCCTAAATTCTAAGATGCTAAAACCCTGGAAACCTTAAGAACTAAAACAATACAGCCCTAACTCCTGAAACCTAAAGCTGTAGTTCGGAATATGGTCGCTGCGAGCATATGACCCAGACCTCGTATTTATATGTATGCAAGATGTCGGCTCTTGCTTGTTGTAGTGATTGAGGTTTAGGGCGGGCGCAAGATTCTAGGTTTGGGGGCTTAAGGTATAGGGCTTAGTAATAGGGTCTGCGGTCTTCAACTGTTGTCCTTCTCTGTGCACTTGGACTACTCCGTTTCCAACAACTGGCATAAGTAGAACTTTAAGTGTACCCACAGTAGCACTGCGAGTCAGCTACTAGGCAAAAGTCAAAAACGCGGACAGTGCCCAACTTCCTTCTTTGCTTGTGGCACTCCCAAACACGTGCGGTCCCCTTGCTCTTTCGGCTTGCGCTGGTCGTAACGAACTCATGATTCGATCTCATCGTTTTGGGGTGCTAAACTCATTCAAAGCCGCAGCACCCAAGCTCCGGTGTTGCAGACTCAGTTGCCCATGTGGGGGTTTCAGAAAATAGGGGACCCCTAATTGTCGGAAACGCCCATGTTCTGCCAGGGTGAACTAGGCCATGCTGCCCGGCTCCACCCGATCAGTTGCCGTTTTAGTCATGCTGTGTAAGTGTAACATGCAGTCTGCGAAGTTGGCATTCCACGAACCCTAAACCCTAAAGCCTAAACCCTTGAGTTGAGGGTCCAATAGACCTAATCATTAGGTACTTGGGTTTGGGAGAGGAGTTTTGTAGGTTAGTACTTCGGAGATTATATAATTATCAAGTACTTGGACCCTCAGGGTGCCTTAACCCAAGACGAAAGAAACCCTGCGAAAGCTAAGCCTGTCTCTCTGAGTCTCTGATGCGCCTGATCATCAAGGAAAAAGCAAGCGATGCCCCAGCACCACTCTAGGGCCCCTGGGCACCGTCCGACCTGCAACCAAGTTGGTTTCGAAGTATTGCTGTTTATATGGCGTGATCACTCCTATATATACACACTTTATAATATATTGCAACCATTTGGCGTGTGAGTGTGAACCTTGGGTACGTAGGACGTATTGCTTCTTCTCATGAACGTGCGGCAGAAGGAGGCGGGTTAGATTGCAACCATCCGGTGCCATGCAAGAAAACGGGACATGATACATTCTGTATACAGTCATGGTCACATTGACCTTTCTCCGTGAAGTGTGTGTGTGTACCCATAAACCCTAAAGTAGTTCCTTTTTGGGGTTCGTATATAGAATCCTATAAGGTAACCCCAAAAAGGAATTACTATGGGGCCTATGGGTGGCCCAGGTAATCAAATTTGATAGCCTGCCAGCCGGACGAAACTCCACAGAAACAATCAGTGCAACTTTTGTCAAGACATGCTCTTTCCACCTACTGAAGCTTACAGTATGAACGGCTGGGATGGCAATGACAAGTCTCTCATCAAAAGTGAAGGCCAACAGAATGCACCGCTGCTGCCGGTAGAACTGCATGAGCCCCGGGACGTTGTAGTTCTGGAAAATCGGATAATAATCTTCCAGATCCAAATCTTGCCCCAAATCCGCATTGCGCTTCAAGAAAGCCCTTGTGTCTCTGGCAGCATCCGTCGAAATATTTACCAGCTCCTCCAAGCTTTGGAAGTTCTCCGAAACCATGAGACACAGCACGATCTGCTTCTCTACCCAAAACCCTGCAAAGGTACGCCCTAAGAGCCCTGTAACCCTGAACCCTACTCCCCCAAGCCTACAAAGGTAACTACGCCCTAAGAGCCCACCCTAAGCCCTACACCCTACACCAACCCTACAACGGCAATTACGCCTTAAGAGCCCTGTAGCCGCAAACTCCCTAAACCCTACGAAGATACACCTTAAGAGCCCTGCAACCCTAAACCCTACACCCCCAACCCTACAAAGGTAATTATACCCTAAGGGCCCTGTAACCCTAAACCCTACACCCTACACCCCCAACCCTACAAAGGAACTACGCCCTAAGAGCCCTGCAACCCTACACCCTACACCCTACAGCCCCAACCCTAGAAAGGTAATTGCACCCTAAGAGCCCTGTAACCCTATAACCCTAAGCCTTACACCCTACAGCCCCAATCCTACAAAGGTAATTATGCCCTAAACCCTAAACTCTAAACCCTAAACCCTAAACCCTACATGAAAAACCCTACAACGGAAAGCCCTAAAGGCCCTGGAGGCCCTTGCGACCTTCGATCGGATCGTTGCCGTTTTCAGGGCGCTGAGGGGTTGCCAGGAGGTCTGCTTGAGCCACCGGGCGGCAGTTGTGGTTTCAAGGAGTTTTGGGTTTAGGGTGGAGATTTAGGTTTCGGGTTTAATCAACGGGGTTTTGGTGCGGTTTTCCACGGTTTAACGGTCTAGTTCGGTGGATTTAGGATTAAGGGGTGTGGGGGTTTTAACGATTTTTAAACCTACCCCGAACCCTAAACCCTGTTGCCTTTCCACCAAAACCCTAAACCCCTAAACCCCTAAACCCCTAAACCCTAAACCCAAACCTTAAGCCCCTAAACCCTGGAGCCCCAGAAGACTGCTGGAGCTCTCCATTGCTCCAGGGCCTCCCGGGTTCTTGGTTCAGGGACAAAAGCTGTGTGTGTGTGTGTGTATATGTATATATATATATATGTACACATACATGCATGCATGCATGCATGCATGCATGTATGTATGTATGTATGTATGTATGTATGTATGTATGTGTATGTATGTATGTATGTATGTGTGTATGTCTGTATGTGTGTATGTGCGTATGTATGTGTACATAAGTATATATATATATATATATGTTATGTCTCTTTCTCTATATACATTAACCTGCTCCGTTTATGCCATAAGAACGAATAAGCATTTGAAGAAACATCCGGCTCCAGGTCAAGGGTGCGGGGTGTACTCCAGTTCCAAACATATCCTCGGCACCACCCCTGACATGAAGCGTCCCGTGTTCGTGTTCCAGAAATTGCCTGTTTAGGTTGCCATTGCAAGTAAAAGACAGAGACAGAGACAGAGAGAGAGAGAGAGGGAGAGCGAGCGAGCCCTAAACCCTAAACCCTAAATCCCCTAAACCCCAAACCAGCTCTCCTATTGTTGTGGAAACTGCGGTCCAACAACTCAGCAAGAGCTCAGTCAGTAGCAGGCTCCGAGCTTCAGGGACTTTTGTTTTCGAGGATGCAGATGTAGGGCTTTTTCAGATGTAAGGTTTAGAGTTTAGGGTTTAGGGTTCAGGGCTTTGAGTTTTGGGTTTAGGGCTCAGGGCTTTGAGTTTAAGGTTTAGGGCTCATGGCTTTGAGTTTGGGGTTGAGGCTTTAGGGTTTAGAATGCAAAACCCAACCTGCAGTCCAAACAAGCCCTCATTTTGCCAAGGAAACAGGCAACATACGAAGGATAACCAGAAACCCTGTACACGCATTAGCGTTTTTCGAGGCAGGGTCGGGTGTCTATAAGCACTTAAAGCCCTGCGTGAACCGTAACACCGAAACTCTAAACGCAAAGCTCTATCTTCGAACCCCAAACTCTAAGCCCCAAGTGTTCCTGCGAATTTCCCTAAACCCTAAACCCTGAGCGCCCAAACCAACAGCTCTCCTCAAAGTGTCAGTCTTGTTGGGGTTTTTGGCTTTAGGACATGGGGGTTTAGGGCTTTGGGACTTTAGGGTTTGAACTTTGGAGGTTTAGGGGTTTGGGGCTTTACGGTTTGGAGTTCAAAGTTTAGAGTTTAGAGGTTTCGGGTTATTCAATCTTTGTGCGTTTTTTGAGGGCGTGGTGAAGGATTCCGTGCTAAATAGACCAGTGCATGCTGAAGAACTTGGTTCTACACTTTCGACTGCCACAGAAAGCATATCCCGCTCGTACATTTCGTTCAACCATACGTACGTACGCAGCTACTTACCCAGTCACCGACCGACCGACCGACCGACCTACCTGCCTACCTACCAACCTACCTACCTAACTACCTACCTTCCTACCTGCCTACCTACCTACCTACCTACCCACCCACCCACCTACCTACCTACCTACCTACCTACCTACCTACCCCACGACCTACCTGCAGGTGGGCGTGAGTACCGCTCTATACTATGCATATCCATACACATATGGAGCCCTTGCCCTATGTGGCCTATGTGGAAGTACACACGGATGCGATACGTGCATACATAATGAAAATATTTGTAGCACCTGCCAAGCAAAGAGTATCACTTAGTATGCAAAAGGCTGAATACATGCACACCTACTCGAAGGGGAGAGGTCTCTGTGATCCAGGCATAAAGTTAAGCCTTGCAGTTGTACTGCACAACGAGGAACCTCCTTTTTGCCGCACCGTCAAGACGGAAAGAGTTAAAGTCGGGATCATGAAATCGAATCTCCGGAAGCATCACGACCTATAGCAGCATCTTCGAAACCCCTAAATCCTAAACCCAAACTCTTTCTTCCACGACACCACAAGCCCCTGCATGCTGAACCCTTCCGAGTGAATAAAGGAGGGAGAGATAAACCAAGACGCAGTAACGTAGGATGTCATGTAGGGGCCTTAATTTGAATATAGGGTTTTGGGGGCCCTCTGTACTATAATTACAATAAGGAACC